ACTCAAACAACAATATGCATCTAATGTAGGACTTGGTGTAAAACAACTATTCGTGAGACTAATCAACATTCACTTCTTTTTTTTTTTTCTTCCCCTTCGTCCTTTCCTTCAGTTTTAACTTCCGGTATTCCAGAAATTTAATCTTCTGAGTGATTCACGTGTGTAAAAATACCAAGATCTCGTGACATATTATAGTTGCTAATACATTTTTTCTTCTTCTTCACTTAGAATCAAATATACTCGTCTTATAGTAGGCCTAATATTTGGCGAGAAGAAAATAAATTCGACTGCTAACAAGTTGTTAAATATTTATGTTGCTTTCTTACATAAGCCTACTTTGAATGTAGGCTTACTTAAATGATAGGACCAACCCACAATTAGTGGGACATTGTGGTAATCCAGTGCGCTTTAAATGACATAAGCTAATTAGTTGATAAGAACTACATTTGTGTCTAGATTTAGTCTATATCTAGCCTATATTATATAGAGGAAGGAATTATTGCAACTGTGCGAAGCCTTAACCGGCTCGGCTGTGATACCTCTTAATTAATTTTTTTAGGGCCGTATATCTTTTTTACAAATTGAGCCTAATGTTGCATTTTAATGAGCAGTTTTTACATGTTATTCATATACATTTATACACTGGGTATTAATTATTAACATCCTAATAACACAAGGACGACAATATTACTTCATCAGAAACCCTTTGAAGTGTTGCTGGTCGGGCCGGTTAGATGAAACGTTTTTACGGTGTTCAAAATGGGAACAACATAACACTAGCTAGACACATTTTATTTCTATATATTTGAATACTGCTGTAAGACCACAATAATGCTATAAACTATATTAGCCCAATTAATATAAACAACCTTTAAATGCGACGTATAGAGCACATGTGTTCTACTGTGTAACTTTGTGGTTCATATGCTTCATTTCTGTGTATGTTTACTAATCGCATGTTACTTAATGGTAGGTATGAGCATATATATTTAAACAAATGGTTTCAAAGGTTGTCATGGCCAGCGGTGTCAATGGGGTTAAGCTCCAATTGTCTATAAAATACTCCTAATGGCATGCGTCTCAGATGGCCTCTGACAAATAAGTCCAGCACCTGGCCTGCTCATGTGGCTTAGATATTAAGCCCGGCGAAACTGCTCTTACTAACAGGTGATGGGGTGAAGGCGGATACATGGCGCCACAAAACCGGGAGCTTCGGCCAGATGGAGCTCGTCAGCCTAGTAAGGCAGTTCATCTAGGAGAGGGGTACTCTGACTGCAAACCCCCGCTGCCTTGCGGTACTGAGGCTTCAGGAGACAACCTCGAGGAGAAATCAGGAGTGAAGCCCCTTAGGCGTTGGGAGTATCAGCTATGAAATTCCCTCCGGCAGCTTCTGCAACTGAGTTGGTGCCAAATGTAATGCGATGCGTTCCTTTAGATCACATCAGCAAGGTCGAGAGAGGGATCATGACACATGGGCCACCCATGACCCCTTTATCCAAGGCCCAGGAATGCGCCACGGATGAAAAATTAAACTAATCTTGACAATAACTATGAAAATTTAAACCATCCTGTTTTGTCAAAAACATATACAAAGTGCAAAATATTATTTGTCAGCAAACGCCAAACCTACTAGATCTAGATAGGCGAGTGACATCGATTTGTCTTTAACTAGAATAGTATAACACTATATAGATTTGACACTGAAATATACCCAGGCATAAAGTGCGTTACCACGCCCTAATCCATTTCTAACGTGTTTTTCGCCAAGGTGGGTGTGCCCAATTTTTTTAATGACTTAGCAAGATTTTGTTAGGGGAGAAAAGGTCTTTTCAGATATTTTCCTATTTCCCATTGTGTGCCATCAAGAGAGACAAACAAAATGCATTTACAAGAAAACAAATTTGTTTTCTTTTTCATGGTGCCACATGACATTTAAACTTCCTCTTGAATATTATTTATAATTACTCATTAAAAAAAAGAAACAACACGAAGAAATTCAAGGCGTGTGTAGCAGACACCTAGCCTAACCCTAGCAGACGACATAGAAAAACGAGAAGAAGCAGAGCTGACGGGCTGTGTGACAACACACACATGGCTTTGTCCCACTCCCAGTGTTGAATCTCGCCACAAAGATAAAAAAAAAACACGAACACACGAGCTTCATCGATCGTTCCAGTACTGCCCCGCTCGTGGTATTTCTATATATGGAGTTAACCCGAGCCATATTTCTCGGAAACAAAAGTTTGCCGGCCCCATATATGGGCATACGATGCTTAGTCATATGCCGGTATTTTATTTTCACCCCTCGAAGCCCTCCAACCTCGTGTTATAATCAACGGAGTTGGAATTTCACGTCCATTTCACAACTTCCAACTCGAGAGCGGTTCCAGATCTATTTATTGTAGCTCATTTTCTTTACTATTTCAATAACACAATCAACAATGTGCGACGAGGACGTAGCTGCTCTTGTAGTGGACAATGGTTCTGGCATGTGTAAAGCAGGATTTGCAGGTGACGATGCACCCAGGGCCGTATTTCCTTCAATAGTTGGAAGACCCCGTCACCAGGTAATATTTTCGAAAAATCTATTTTAGACATAACCACGTGTTTATCAAGTCTCGTTGAGTCTAGATCTAGAATTCTTGATGTAGATCTAAGTCTTATAACTCTAGACTCCGGATTTAGATCTAGGTCTAGATATATTATACACATAGATTCTATATTCTAGATCTAGAATTTAGAAAAGTACCCCCCCCCCCTTTTTTTTTCTCTCACTTCCTTTATATGCTTGATATAATTTATTGAATTGATGTAAACTAAAATGTAATGCTTGAGTGGTTCACATCTTTGAAAATTATCTAGATCTAGATTGAGGAATATAGATAGATAGAAATCTACATTAAATGTTAAATCTAGAAAACCCATCAATCTATAGAGTAATCTAGACTAACATAGTATAGATTATCTAGATCTAGCCCTTTGGCAGCCCTAACCCATAGGATCTAGATCTACATCTATAATTAGTAGACTATTAATTGGTCCTAGCTAGATTAGGTCTAGATTCTAGAGTTCAACTTCATCACTGACACTATCGTAGTCTATAAATATGAAATAAAAATTTGCTAATTTTTAGACAAATCTAGACCACTAGAGATAGATCTAAATCTAGACTAGATTAGATTAATACTATTGACTTGTAATATAAATGTATATATATATCTATATAATTCTAGATATTCAAAATCAAAGTACAAATATCATAGATTTTATATCTATGAAACCTAAATGTCTTTTATACTTTTTTTTTTTATTGCCCAGTATTGTATTTAAAATAAAATACAGATATTTAAAAATAAGTTTTTAATCAATAAAATCAATTTTAAAAAAAGCTGCATGGAATAAAATGTAAGAAAATGATTAGGTACACATACTTGGTCTATATTGCCAACTTAACAATCCGATCTTTCAGTACCAGTGCTAAAATGCATAATAATTTTTAAAATAGCAACACACCTAAAATCAGTGCACCAGAAATACCATATCAGCTAGATCTACTTATCTGCCATAGAATTTAGTTGGGACAGCTCCAATAGATCAAAGATAATTCTTTTGCAATGGCAGGGGTTGGTCATTGTGGCAAGACAGTTATTACAGAGGGGGTGTATATTATTTTGGAGTTCATTATAATGTATAGAAGTTTACTATTACCATACAGGGAAAGTTAGTATAGTAGTATTTGTACATTGAAATGCTGATATTTATAAAATCTAGAAATTTAAAGATTTTTTTTTTTTTTGAGTAGTGCAAAGGAACATTTAATTCAAGTTTCCGTTGATGTAAATGGGTGAAAAAGAGCATGAAGCACTCAGTTAAATCACCAAGAAATGCAATCGTTTTCTCATGAGAAATTCATCCTCCTTTGTTGAACACTAAATTTAAGATTGTTTATGACTCTTTCTCTTCACAGCTTTAAAGTTGTTCTTTTTTTCTATGTAGTAATTTTAAAAAATGTAATGATTCTAAATTAATACTTTTTCTTTTTGTTTTCTACTTCAGGGCGTGATGGTTGGTATGGGTCAGAAAGACAGCTATGTTGGTGATGAGGCTCAGTCTAAGAGAGGTATTCTCACCTTGAAATACCCCATTGAACATGGCATTGTCACAAACTGGGATGACATGGAGAAGATCTGGCATCATACTTTCTACAATGAGCTTAGAGTTGCCCCTGAAGAGCACCCAGTACTTCTCACAGAGGCACCTCTAAACCCTAAAGCCAACAGAGAAAAGATGACCCAGATAATGTTTGAAACCTTCAACACACCAGCTATGTATGTAGCCATCCAAGCTGTGCTCTCATTGTACGCATCTGGTCGTACCACAGGAATTGTGCTTGATTCAGGTGATGGTGTAACTCATACTGTCCCCATCTATGAAGGTTATGCTCTTCCTCATGCTATTATGAGGTTAGATTTGGCTGGTCGTGACCTCACAGATTACTTGATGAAAATCCTCACTGAGAGAGGCTACAGCTTCACTACAACAGCTGAGCGTGAAATTGTCCGTGACATCAAGGAAAAGCTCTGCTATGTGGCTCTAGATTTTGAACAGGAAATGCAAACAGCTTCCACCTCTTCATCTCTTGAGAAGAGTTATGAGCTTCCTGACGGCCAAGTCATCACGATTGGCAACGAGCGATTCAGATGTCCAGAAGCTGAATTCCAGCCATCTTTCCTTGGTATGGAATCTGCTGGTATCCATGAAACAACCTACAACTCCATCATGAAATGTGATGTTGACATTCGTAAAGACTTGTATGCTAACACTGTATTGTCTGGTGGTTCCACCATGTTCCCTGGCATTGCAGACAGAATGCAGAAAGAAATCACAGCCTTGGCTCCACCAACAATGAAGATCAAGATCATTGCTCCACCAGAGAGGAAATACTCTGTTTGGATTGGAGGATCTATTTTAGCATCTCTCTCCACCTTCCAACAGATGTGGATCTCCAAACAAGAGTATGATGAATCTGGTCCATCCATTGTTCACAGGAAGTGTTTCTAAACATGACAATAAAAATTTTCTGAGATCATTTTAGATCTGATTATTTATTATATTATAAAACCATTGCCAATGCTGCATTTTGCTGAAGTTGCTCACTTCAGTATTAGTCATAACTTTTATACCAACATTGCAATTGTTTTTTGTTTTTTTATGTGAAGTGCTCCACAGGCTTAAAATACAATTTAAAACAGAAGAAACATACACTGGTGCTATGTCCTTTCAGCTGTACATTTTTGTAGGCATTGTATGTGGTATAAATGTATTTTTAGCTTTTTTTTTTTTTTTTTTTTTTATTACAGTCAATAAATGTTATTGCATTTTATAAACTTAAGTTTTGTTTGTTTTGTTACTGTATGTTGAACCTTCACTGAGACTCATTGTTGATGAAATTTTTACAAATTTAATGAAATATGCTCTTAAAAAGAAAACTAACAAAAATGTAAATTCTTAGTCATTCCAATAGAATACTAAGATACCTCATTCCTTTAGGATTCCTCATTCTAATAGATAACAAAAGGTTTAGTACAATTGAATTTTTTTATTGCACACATCATTAAAATTGAAGTACACAAACTTCAAGGAAGAAATCCATTAAAATGTTTTTGTTTTACTGGTACAGTAATGTGAAACTAAGCATCTTTCTAATGGTGAGTATTAAAAGAATTTTTGTTGAAGATGATGCTCTATTACAATATCTACCTGGTCATGTGGTCTCAGGTTCAAACATGGTATCATCTGGTACATGTAAATCAATAGCCTAGTGACAGGGTCAGGCATTGGCAACCGCCTAAAACTCCCGATTGTTGCACGATTCCAAGTCCATTCAATAATGTTTTGATCTACACGTCTACTATTGTTTTTTCCTTTAGAATGGAGATAAAAAATTGGTTTATGGCAACTGTACAAATATGTTAAGAAGTTTACGGAATCCTAATTCATTTGGGGCCACCCAATTACTTAAAACCGGCTCTGCTTGTAAAATACATATGATGTTAAGGATATTTTGTAATACCGGTATACCTTTGTGTTCATGCTCAATGAATGCAAGATTCGTTTTGTCATGATGATCATTCATAGGACTTGTATCTAGCTCTTAGCATGAAAGTTAAATACTGTACGGTAGTACAGCATAAATGTGTAGATAATCAAATTTAATGTCTATCGATTCCAAGTACAGTAAATGAAATATTTCTAAGAATAATAAAGGGGGATAACAAAGACAAAAAATAGATGGGTTAGGCTGCATGTACTTTTCATACATGAATTACCTCTCTTTTAAAAAATTAAGATATAATACTCAATTAGCCACCCGTCTCGGTGTTTTTTTTTTCCATTTTTAAATTTATTTATTTTTTCTTTTGTAGGCCTTTTTTTAAGCCATGCATACAAAATCTGCATCTGAAACGTTTTTTTTCTCTCAATGCAATGATAACTTAAACAGCAATTAACATCTCTGATCTTTCAGTTTTAAGTTTCGTTATGGTAGAAAACAATTCACACACAATACCGATAGACACATGGCTAAACATTCAAAATAACATCCTTCGACATTAGAGGGTGAGGTTACCCACAAAACCCCGTTTGGCTATGCTCTTGGAATGTAGCCTTTACTACGATTATGGAACTTGGTACGGTAACTAGTTATCCGTTTTTTTATTTCTTAAAGATAGGGGAGGGGATTAATTTAAGCCCCGTTTACCTATTCTTATGTCATAAAGTTTATTTATTGTAGAGGATTTAACCTGAACCTCTCTTGGCTACGCGCATGTTATGGATTGCCTGTAGCTATGCTTTATTTTAACCTCAATACCCATTTGGCTATATTTATGGAATTCAAAGAATGTAATTTTCCTTTAGGTTTTTATTGACACTTTTTTTTTTAACTCACCCATCTCCCTCCCAATGGCAAAGCTCATGGAATTTAGTGACTGTAATTTGCTTACAAAAATCGAAAATGGAAGTTTGAACTTCAAAAGTCCGTGGATTTTAACTCAAAACCCACTAGAGGGAGGTTTTAAACTCAAAACGTTCCTTGGCTACGTTCATAGACTTTGGTGGTTGTTTTCCTTTAGTTTATATTGAACAGGGGGATTTTAAACTTAAAACCTTTGGAAGGAGTTTGAACACCCCCCCCCCCCCCTCGGACTACGATTATGGAAATAATTGTCAGAAGTTTGCTGCAGTGTTTTTGAAAAGACAATATTTAACCTCAAGCCCCCCTCGGCAACGCTGGAACAAGTAATGGTTTAACATTAAAACATCCCCTCCAGTAAAAAAAAAATGAAGCAAAGAGTCACAAATCCCCCCTCCCGCGGCTACGCCCATGTCTGTTGTGTTAACGAACAGTTTCACAAAAAGATATCAAGCTTTGGGAAAAACATTGGCCGCTGGACATCACAGCAATAAATTGACAGAGAAGTCTTTACTATGAATGACGTTAAGAAGAAGCTATGATGTTCATCTTGCATAGAATGCACAATATCACACCGTTTCTAGGAAAGCATTATTTGATATATCCTACTACAGTATAGGCCTATATATACATCATTCAAACTAATGAGATTAACAAGAGAACGAAGGTAAAAAGAAGTTATATAAATAAGGAGGCACAAGGCCTGCTGATCAATATGCGAGGGATGTTCCAGGTTTAGGTTCTATGCTACAGGAATTTGCAAAATACGCCCCGCTGACCACACCCTAACCCGACCCGCGATTGGGGGGGGGGGGGGCTATCCGCTTCGTCTTAACTTCTGTGCACAGTAGGCCTATAGTAAGACGTTTAAAAAAAAAGGAATAAACATTAATTTCAATAGATGTGCGTATAATCAGCTAGCTGACAATTCACAGGCCAGCGCCAGAAGAGCGGCTCATGATAAAACTCGTTTTAGTAAGGTGATGAACAATCTCAAATACCTTATAAGATAACAGGCTTCACTTGAGACACCACTAAAAAGTTTAATATCTTTAATATCTTGACCTTTTGGAAAACACTTAAACCAATTAGCTGTTTTTAGGCGAGGCGCTATTAACATGCATATTACAAGGGAATCTTAGTAAAGTATATATTATAAAAAGATGCATACGTACCACAGTACTTTCCTCTAGTGAAGCCTGAACAAATAATTTTTTCAGTTGTATTATTGAGTAATGGAGCTACAATTTTATTTAAGTTTCACATTGCATTTTTTTTTAAGTTAAGGAATGTGACTTATCTCCAAGTACCGGTATTTGCAGTTTACTGCTGCGCTAATTGAAACTATTTCATAGGGATCGCAATGAAAAAAAAAAAAAAAGGGGAAATAACCTTTTTAAAAAATTAATTCTCACCCAAATCCCAGTTTTGTTCCTATGATTACAATCGACCGCTCAAAGCTAGAAAATATTTAAATATATGCATGTCATTTATAGAAGGCAATTGTATTTTTTATTTGACACTCTGAACATTATGAAGTGATAGTTGTCCTAATTTCTTTTATTTGAAAAGGTCATCAAGTGCAGTAATAAATGTCTTAACTAGCAATTTTTCCCCTCACATATGATGGTGTACATTTTAATTTTCAAAGACAACCAAAGAATGACATTGATGAAATTTATTTCAACACTAAACTGTGAACATCATTCAAATGATATAAAAATATCAAGAAATTATCTCGTATATTATTTCATACATTAATTAAGAGAGATTGTTCAATAGCAAAGTTCTCAAATTTACCTTTCTAATACATCAAATATGCATACACTTCAAAACGTGGGCTCAGAAACATTTCCTGTGTACAATAGCTGGTCCAGACTCATCATACTCTTGTTTAGAGATCCACATCTGTTGGAATGTTGACAAAGAAGCTAAAATAGAGCCTCCAATCCAGACAGAGTATTTTCTTTCTGGTGGCGCAATAATTTTAATCTTCATGGTACTTGGTGCTAAAGCAGTGATTTCTTTTTGCATACGGTCAGCTATTCCTGGATACATAGTTGACCCACCAGATAATACAGTATTTGCATAAAGATCTTTGCGAATGTCAACATCACACTTCATGATAGAATTGTAAGTTGTTTCATGTACACCTGCTGATTCCATTCCCAAAAATGATGGTTGAAACATTGCCTCTGGAGTGCGAAATCTTTCATTTCCAATGGTAATCACCTGTCCATCTGGCAACTCGTAACTTTTCTCTAGTGTAGAAGAAGATGCAGCAGTGCCCATTTCCTGTTCAAAATCTAGAGCCACATAACATAATTTTTCCTTGATGTCACGGACAATTTCACGCTCAGCTGTTGTAGTGAAGCTGTAGCCCCTCTCAGTGAGGATTTTCATCAAGTAATCTGTGAGGTCACGACCAGCCAAATCTAACCTCATAATAGCATGAGGAAGAGCATAACCTTCATAGATAGGGACAGTGTGAGTTACACCATCACCTGAATCTAGCACAATTCCTGTGGTACGACCAGATGCGTACAATGAGAGCACAGCTTGGATGGCTACATACATAGCTGGTGAATTAAAGGTTTCAAACATGATCTGGGTCATCTTTTCTCTGTTGGCTTTAGGGTTTAGAGGTGCCTCTGTGAGAAGTACTGGGTGCTCTTCAGGGGCAACTCTAAGCTCATTGTAGAAAGTATGATGCCAGATCTTCTCCATGTCATCCCAGTTTGTGACAATGCCATGTTCAATGGGGTATTTCAAGGTGAGGATGCCTCTCTTAGACTGAGCCTCATCACCAACATAGCTGTCTTTCTGACCCATACCAACCATCACACCCTGTGAACAAAAATATAAAAAGAAAATTATAAAAAATATATATATAAAAAAAGAAATAAGACTTCATAAATTTGATTATTTATTAATATATGACTGGTGCATGCAGCATTAGTATCTTAAACACCATTACCCCTATCAAAACAGAGGTTTGGGTCAAAAGTGGTTTGAGTCTTTAGAAAGAGAATACTTTAGGGATTCTGCCAATATGTTAATGTTTCCCCATCCCTCCACAAATCTTGTAACAGTATGCATCAGGGTTGGAAAAAGATTTATATGATTTAAATGAGACAATTCAACAAGAAGCCACAACATGTTCTGTGCAGCCTGAATAGGTGTTCTACCAACTACTGGAATAATTAACTAGTAAGCCACCACATGAAATAAATCTCTCTAAAATATAAACAAAGTGTTCCCCTACAAACTCAGAATGTACAAAGTGTTCCATTTAGGAAAAAGTATGGGATACATTGGCTTAATCATTAAGAGAGCCAAACATTAATTTACTTTCTGAGGTCTACATTTAGTTTTCATAATTTAATTTCTGTACAGATAATACCCATCCAACACA